TTTGAGGGAGGGGGCATCATTGGAAAGGCATGGGATATAGTATTTGACAATGCGAAGGTAGTGCTCTCTAACTTTGTTTTTTCCCTTTAACTGTGTAACTAGTGTGTGCCAGTTCCTGGAGCTGTGTCAAAGCCCAGAAGGTGGCTTTGGAGGGGGCCCTGGTCAGTACCCACACCTTGCACCCACATATGCAGCAGTCAATGCACTGTGCATCATCGGTACCGAAGAGGCCTACGATGTCATTAACAGGTACAACCCGAGCCAGCAGCTACAAACCAAAAGGGTTTCTTGCCCACTGACCCTGCACTGACCATTGCCCTCTCCTACCTTTTTCCCGTTTGTTTCTCAGAGAGAAGCTTCTTCAATATTTGTACTCTCTGAAGCAACCTGATGGCTCTTTTCTCATGCATGTTGGAGGTGAGGTGGATGTGAGGTGAGTAAGGTTTTTCTCAGGCTGCTGATCAATGCATTCTAGGGTTTACCTGCCATTAGTGACGTCAAACCTAAGGAACAATAAGAGTCAGTATCAGACCTTTGGAAAAGCTAATGCTTTGTTCTCACAGAATAACACAGCTTCATAATGACATGGTGTCATAATCATGACAAATGTGATACTATGGCCTCAGGATGGCTGTTTTTCTAGCAGTGCATTTTAAAAACGATTATCACCAGACCTCTTTTATGTAAATGTCAAAATATAAGTAAAACTTAATTTAGAACAAGCAATAATATGAGATCAGAAGGACAGCGTTTGCCGAGGGCTAAAGCTCAGAAGACAGGAAGGGGTGGGAAAGAAGGATAAAGGGAAATGAGAAACACAGGGAGGAAGTGAGAAGAGTGCTGTTACACTGTGGGGAGTGCAGTCAGTGTCCTGAATCGAAATGTGAATGAATTATTGAATGAAAACCGATTTGCTCTGTATACTTCCACTCAAGACACGATAAAAAGTTAAAAAAAATAAATGCTTTTGTTTTAAAAATTAAAAATACATTTGCTATAAAACGATGTCATATTGCAAAAACGGCAAGGATGCCACAAGTTCTGACCTCCTCTAACCCCACAAGAGGAAGACAGGATTACCAGCAGTAACCCAAGGCCTATTCCTGCCAGGCCAGACATGCTGCCTCCCCCCTCCAGCCCTTGCTCTAACCTTTCCTCCCAAAAAGCACCCACCACCTCTCTCCTGGGTTCGATAATTCACTGCAGTGGCCACACAGAACTCACAGATTATGAGGTTTATTAGGGAAGTACCAGATTACAATTCAAGTTCAGGAAAAACGCTCAGTCTCTCTCCCAGCCCACCATCTCTCAACCAAGTCTCTCTCAGAATGTGTGTCTCTTGAGTCTCTTTCCCAGCAGTGTGTGTCTCCTCCAGCAGCACATGTCTCTTTCAGCAGCACGTCTTTCTCAACCAGCAGTCAGAGAGAGTTCTGCCTCTAGGAGGCCTCCTTTTGAGCCCGGCAGGGTGGTCAAACTAGCCTATCATAGCATCAGAACTCTAAGCACCTGAGAGAGAGTGGGCACCTCCCAGAACATTGTTTTGTGCCATCCCCAACAGAAATACTCCAGGTGGACACCTTCAGCCATCAGGAGCTCCTCAGTTGCCCATAGAAAATCCCACCTTGGAGTTTACAGACTTGTGGGTAGAAAAGCCACACTAAGTAATTTACTACACCGCACATATATAATAACATAGTATGATTTTTAATACTATTTTATTGTGTTTTCATTGAGAGTTTACATAACAGATTACATTCCCATTTGATAATTTGCGCACAGATTATTCAGTGATGTTGGTTACGTCTGCACAGTGCAATTTAATCTTTCATCTGTCTGGATTTGGTGCTGTTGTTAGGTGTTGTCGAGTTGGTTCCAACTCATCGTGATCCTTTGTCCACTGGAATAAAACACCCCCTGGTCCTGCACCATCCTCACAGTTATTGCCGTGTTTGAGCCCATTGCTGTATCCGCTGTGTCGATCTGTTGAGCTCTTCCTCTTTTTTGCTGACCCTCTACTTTACCGAGGATAATGTCCTTCTCCAGGGACTAGAAAAGGAAAAGAAAGTCCAGTAGGGACTTAAGAGAATTTTTAACACTTGAGATCCTCCCAGGGGGTGTGAGAGTAGTTTGGGAGGTGCAGAAACCCTCATGGGCCAGTAGAGAGCAGTGCAATAAAGTGGCATCAACACGTCGGTACCAGTTGGCACACAAATCGGTACCAGTTGGCTCACAAGTAGTGTTTTAAGAAGTGTTAGAAGATGTATGTAGCAACTTGCTCACTCACCTGACAGGAGAGTCCTTGTGAAACATATAGGGAATTCACTGAATAAGTCGTTTCTCAAAGGTGGCAGGTCACTGAGATTTCATACCATTTCCTTACCATTAGGTCTGAGAAGTACATTTTTTGTGAGGTTTCTAAATCAAAGCCATCATTTGCCTGTTTGTAATTGTGTTTGCTTCTGTGCAAGCTGATTCTATGTAACCTGGCTTAAGTGAAACGAAGACCACTGGTTTGAAAGTATAGGGAAAGAACAAAACCTACAAGTTGTGAAACATGAATAACAGATTGCAGAGAAAGTAGGTAATGAGGCTGCAAAGGCCTGAAGGAAGGATTTTCTTCTTCTGTCTGTAACCTGTCTGTTCAGATAAAAAACTTAGTCTAAGCCAATAGAACTATTGAAGTAAGGTTGACTCCTCTTAAGGAAAAAGGAAAAAATAAAATTTTTTGGCCCCACAGTGACATCATTTTCATTCCTATTCTGTCTGTAGATATGCCAGTCAAATACTCACATGTTGAAACTTAGTTTTCTAAAAAGCAGGCAAACACTAGCATGACCCTCTTGAAATTTTGCTGCATACCTTTTTCAGATATGATTATTTGCTAACTTACTCATTCCAGCACCAGTTTTTTTTTGTGTGTGTGTGTGTGTTTATTCATACCTGCTAGACAAATGCTAAGGAGCTCTAGTGGCACAGTGCCTAAGGCATTTGACTGCTAACCAGAAGTTTGGTGATTCAAACCCACCAGCCACTGTATAGAAGGAAGATGGGGCAATCTACTTCTTTAAAGATTTACTGCCTCAGAAACCCAGTGGAGGTCACTATGAATCAGACTCGACTCGATGGCACTGAGTTTGGCTTAGTTTTAGATGCCAATAAAATAGATTTGTCCAAATGAAGAGCACAGTAGCTATATCCCTCCATCTAAAGTCTTCTGCTAATAATAAATACTCTGACATTCTAGCCCATAATTTTCACTTACATGAAGAATTAAAGATGTGAATGATGGAAAACCTATCACATCCAGTTTTTTGTACGCATTTCCCTCGTTTTTCACTTAATTACCCTTGGCTTGGAAGCATCTACCAGTACTCAGGAGGGCTTGTAGGATCTGACCCAGAGTGGGGCAGCAATGACTGAGAATAATTTGGCATCTGGACTCTACCTTGCCCTCATTCTGGGTTAGTAAAGGTGGTCTCTTGATGGTCTTTCAGGTTCTACCACAGCTCCTAATAGTTTCTGGGATAAGCTTATTCAACAGTTTACAGCTCCCAAACCAAAACCATACCTACTGCCATTGAGTCCATTATGACTCAGAGACCCTAGAGGACAGAGAACTTGCCTGTAGGGTTGCCAAGGCTATAAATCTTTACAGAAGTAGATTGCCTTGTCTTTCTCCTATGGAGCAGCTGGTGAGTTTGAACCACCAGCCTTTTGGTTAGCAGCCCAATGCCTTAACTACTGTATCACCAGAGCTCCTTATTATGACTCCAACAAACAGTGTGCTTAAAATAAACCACAAAATCACAGTGAACTTAAACCAAGCACACTATTTTCTCAGATTTTGAAAAAGGAATATTTATTCTTGACCCCTAACTTAGGTTATTTAATCTGGAACAGCTAAGGCACTTGACTGCTAACCAGAAGGCTGGTGGTTCAAACCCATCAGCCACTCCTTGGAAGGAAGATGGGGCAATCTACTTCCGTAGTGATACTGCCTCGGAAACCCAAGGAGGGGTCTCTATAAGTCGGGTCCGACTCGACGGCACAAAACAACAGCAACAACAACGCGGAACAGAGAAGGAAATCATGCATGGTAAGGTGCAGGGTCAGTGAAAAAGGGGAAGACCCTCAGTGAGATAGAGTGACACAGTGGCTGCAACGATGGGTTCAGGTGTGGCAAGGACTGTGAGGCTGGTGCAGGGCTGGGCAGTGTCTCATTCTGTTGCACATAGTGTCACTATGAGTCAGAGCCAACTCGACAGCTCCTAACAACAGTCTGGAGCATGTCATAGGGGTAGTGAGGAGAGTGGAACCAAACATTTTGCATAAGTTTAGGTGACAGAGAATAGGTGTGTTCAAGAAATGAGAAGTTCATGTGGCTGGACAACAGAGGGCACGGTGGGTAGTGGTGAGGATTGAAGCTGAAGGAGCTGGCCAACTAAGGACAGAATGCCGAGGGCCCTGAACTCTCCTTAAGGAGTCTGGAATTTATTTTAAGGGCAGTGGGAAGGCATTGAAGGGTTTTAAGCAGGGAGTGGCGTGATCTGACTTGTGTTTTAGTAAAAGTACTCTGATTTTAGGGCTGGAGGGAGGGAGACAGGACAGGGGATTGATCCAGGCAGAAGATAACAGTGATTTGAATTTGGATGATCCAAGGATGGAGAAAAAAAAAAAAAATAATAATCAAACTCACTGCCGTCGAGTCGGACCCAACTCCTAGCGACCCCTCCTTGGGTTTCCAAGGCGGTATCACTATGGAAGTAGATTGCCCAGCCTTCCTTTGGAGGAGTGGCTGAGAGAGATGACAAATTTGGGAACTCTGGTGACTGGATAGAAGTGAGGAAGAAGCTATGTGAAAAAGTCTTATTTTGTTCCTTCCCTGTCTTAATGTGAGATTTAGAAGTAGTGGCCTCTGGCATCATTTCCCAGTTCTTCCATCTGTGAGAAGCAAATGACATTACTGGCTGTCTCCCTACCTCAGAGGATTCAGGGGCAAGTGCTTTTGGACCTTTGAGAGGCTCAAAACTTGAAGGAAATTAGATCAGACCTCCTAAGTGAGCTTATGGTAAATGATAACATTTGGCGTTGGCAAGTATGACTCTCAGTTGCACCGAGTACCTGCTGGTGTAACTAAACCTCTGCTGTGATTTTGGGCAGCATATGCAGGGCTGATAAAAATGTTGGTTGGATAGCAATGCCTGCAGCTTCCACAGAGATGTCTTTGGCATGCCTCAGGAAGTTTACCCTAGTATTACGTCTGTACTGAGTAAAATGGAAACTAGACCTTTCTTTTTCCTCCGTTTTATGTTTCTTAAGGGACCTTAGAAAAAGTATTTGTGAGCAGAATTAGAACAAACAGATTTTGATGTCAACATAAAATAAAGTTGAGATGCTGGATATTTGAAAAGACCATTAAAAAAACCCAAAAACCTATTTCCATCAAGTCGATTCTGACGCATAGTGACCCCACTGAGTTTCCGAGGTACAAAGCTTTACGGAAGTAGACTGCCTCATCTTCTTCCCATGGAGCAGCTGGTGGGTTTCAAGCACTTTCCTTCTGGTTAGCAGCCAAATAAATACCTTACCCACTATGCCACCAGAGCTCATCTGAAAAAAACTGTAGAGGGCAGGAAAAAGCAGTCTGTGGATGTGTTTGTTCCATGATAGAAGGGAAAGCCAAAATAAAACATATCCTGAGAAGAATTAGGGCTGGGAGGATGGAATGGCAAGAATTATTCCAAATCAAATTAGATAACATTTAAAAGCAAATAATAGACATGCTCTTTCATTTTCCTCTAAAAGTGTGTAGACGTGGAGGTGATGGGGTACTTGAAATCCAAGCTCTTCTCTCCCTCTAGAGATTTAAGAAATGAATCTGAGTGGGCTCATCTATTCTGTCCCTCTTGTTTAATGTAAGCAGCCATTGGGGTCTGGTGGCCTACTTTGGCATTTATCTGTTAAAGAAAAAAATATATATAGTTAATACTTTCAGTGTGTGCATGCAGACTGAAATCCTGGATCTAAAACAATATTAACATCTGAATGAATGAACATATCAGAAATACCTGAATGACACCATGAAATCATGGGAACCATGATTGGTCTTTGAAAGACGAGCTAAATTCCCTTTAGACATGAATTGATACGGCTGTTATTTCCTCTGATGTAGATGTGACCATGTGGAGGTAGGGAGAATAGAATGTCATGTTCTTTCACTGAAGCCATGCTGTGAGCAACTCTATCCAAACAGAATGTCAAACCTCTCAGTTGGAGACCCAGAATGACTGACCGTGTGCCAAGAGTAAGGACAGGAGGTGATTATAGCTTATGAGGCAAAGAGAGCAACCCACCCAAGAAGTTCAGTGAGCCTCTTTCAGGTTCTCCCGTCAAGCTTAACACTTTTTCCCCTTCTGTTTCTGTCTTGCCAGGAGTGCCTACTGTGCTGCTTCCGTAGCCTCTCTGACCAATATCATCACTCCAGACCTCTTTGAGGGCACTGCTGAATGGATAGCAAGGTGAGAGAAGCTGGGATGTTTCCTGGCCTCTTAGACTGGAGGTGGTCAAGCATTTACTTCTGAAAAATAAAATGAAAAAGCACTGGAAGGGAATATAAAGTTACAAGAGATGTATTATTAGGCTTCTAGGATTGTACATTTTAATAAAACTTTCATTTTTTTTTCTCAAAACTTTCTGTAATGTCATATAATTTTTTGATTGGCAAAGATCAAAAAGTTTGGTAAGCAGGGCCGATGAAAGTCTAAATTGATTCAGCCAGTTTGGAGAGCAGTTTGGCAGTGTCTCAAAGTTGCTTTTGTGTGTGACCCGTTCATTCCACTCCTACAGAAACTCTTGCATGCAGGCATGAAGGAGACAAGTCTAGAAATCATTTATAATAGCAAAATGCTGTAAATGGTTTAAATGTCCGTAAGCACAAGATTGGATAAGTCCATTGTCATATAGTCAGATCAGAAGTCAAAATGGATGAACTAGAGCTACTTGTGCCAATTGATAGATTTAAAAAATGTAATGCTGAATAAAAAAGGATAGTAAAGAAAACATGCAGATCAATATATGTAATTAAAGTTTAAAAGCATGCAAAACAAATCTATGTTGTTTATGAGAAGAATTACAAGCAGTAATAATATAAAATATGTAGGGGAATGATAAATTCAGGATAGTGTTTACTTCTGGGGTAGAAGCCAAGGAAATGAGATTGATCAGTGTAGGGGTACACAGGAGGCTCCAATTGTTTATTTCTTTAAAAAAAAAAGAAAAAGACCTGAAGTGTATAGGACTAAATCAAAGCCAGATGTTAGGTACATGTATGTCCTATATATTATTTGTTATACTTTCCTGGATATTTCAAATACTTCATAATTTAAAAAAGTAAAGCTGTAATAGATCTATGTGTATATATATATATATATATGTAGCATAGTGGCTAAGGCACTTGACTGCTAACCAGAAGGCTGGCGGTTCAAACCCACCAGCCACTCCTCGGAAGGAAGGTTGGGCAATCCTACTTCCGTAGTGATACTGCCTCAGAAACCCAAGGAGGGGTCGCTATGAGTTGGGGCTGACTCAACGGCACATAACAACAACAACAATTATAGAATGATGTCCAAACTATTATTTTTTATTTTTTTACATTTTAATTATTATCAAAATAGTAACTTATTATGATTTATATATTGTTTACAGCCAAACCAGCTAATATGCTATGATCACATTCACTTTTTTGTGTAACTTTTATTTTCCTAGAGTTGATCATTGCCTCTTTTTAAAGAGAAAAATGTATGTTCTGTGAATTCATTTCCAAGTTCTCTGCCAGAGCTATCAAGTTACTCGCAATACAAACACTTTAGGCAGTCTGTCAGTCCTCCTGTGAGTGTGCGCGTATGTTTTGAGCCCTCCATCTTCCTGCATTGGTCGGGACAGATTGCTCTCAGCTTGCTGCTCAGCACGCCTCCAGGAGCTTCCTTTCAGCATGAAATTTGCTTCCCTTTCGTCTTCGTTGCAGCTTCTATCTTCCTTTTTCTTGGCTTACTTACTCGTTTTAATGAAGCACGTACTCCAGCAGATGCCAGAAAAAGGCACCTGGTAGACTCATTTTCAAGATTTCCCATACATCTTCATTCTACTCTCACACCTGATTGGTAGTTTGTTTGGTTGGAGATTTCTAAGTTAGAAATTGTATAAACTCTCTTTCTTCAGAATTTCGCAAGGGCTGCTCCATTATCTTCTAACTTTCAGTGTCCTTGTTAATAAGGTTGATAATAATGGCCAACATTTATTGAGCACTTACGATGTAATGCTTATTGGTAAGGTAGCTTAAGTTTAGGGGTTGAGAGTATAGGTTTTCAAGTTGGATTGCCTGCATTTGGTTCTTAATGTGTATTTTCTGTTTTTCAGCAGAAATTTCCCATCTTTTTATTCATTATAAGTATATTTTTCTTCACCTCACTGAGGTAAATAAGTAGATGCATCAGAATCCTTGTTTGATAATCCAACAACTGGGTATCTTGAAGTTGATGTGTTCTTTATCTTTCCCTTTGAGACTGGCTCCCATTTTCCTGACTTTTCATATGTCAAGTAATATTAGATTATATCCTGGACATTGTGATGTCATGTTGTAGAGACTGGATTCTGTTCCATTGCTCCAAAGAGTGTTGATGCTTTTGTTTTAGGAGGTAATCACTTGTTTAGGTTCATACTGCAAATTGTCGCTCCTGCAGTCAGCAGTGACTCAAATCTTGGGTCAGTTCTGCTTTCAGTTTGCCCACTGAATGCATGATTCTGGGCTCAGCCAGAGAATTGAACTGAGTTTAAACACAAAACTTGGGGTTTCTCTTCTCTGGTTTTCCTCTTTCTGGAATTCCTCCTCACTCTCGGGGAACCTGGTTCTTCTTGCCAGAAGACAGTGGCTTACTATTAGGGGATTGCTGTCCTCCCTTTACCCTTGTAGTTAAAGTTCAGCAGCTGTCTGAGTGAAGAAACACCTCTAGCTCCAGTGGGCTGGGAGCAGGAGGCAGATCTGGACCCCAAGGTTGAGGGGCTTTCACACAGTCCCTAGAGCCTGGCACTTTGAACTTGGACTTAAAGCCTCCAAATTGTAAGAATAAACTCCTGTTTGTGAAGGCCATCCCATTGGTGGTATATTCGTGTCAGAGGGCACTAGGGAACCAGAACAGCCCTGAACTGCTGCTGCCACCACTGTGACCAGCCTCAGGGCAAACACGAGGGCAAAACAAACCAGGGCGGTGGAGGGGAGGCACTAACTGCCTGCTGTTTGCTCCAAGTTTTAAATCTCTATCAAACTCTGTCTACTTTTTTTCAGTCCGCTGAATTCTCAGGAATTTTTTTTGGGGGGAGGGGGGAGGTTTCAGAGTTTATAGCTGTTATTTGTGGGAAGATTGACTTGTTAGGCACTTACTGGATGTGAAATTCAAACAGCATGGGTTTGAATCCCAGTTTTGCTACTTATTGGACAAGTTATTTAACTTCACTGTGTTTCAGCTCATGAGGTATTGAATTTAATGTTAAGCTGAGATTCAAAGAAATTAAGTGGACCAGAGCTGTTATGGTAACCTCTGTGCTGTACTGCCTCCAAATTCTATGGTGATTCCCAACCTTTTATATATTTTGATTTTGATTTTCTTTTTTTTAATCCCTACCCATCCATTCTTCTCTCTAGAAGCTTTTGAAATGTTGATTCTTGCTATTCCGGAAACTTCTCCTTGATGGACTTTGATGTGGATCTTTTTCATTCTTTGTGCTGGGCACCCAGCAGGCCCCTTTGATCTGGAAGCATGTGTACTTTAGTTTCAAGAAACTTTATTATACCATTTAATTGATCATTTCTTTCTGCCTTCTAATTTTTTTTTAATTTTTTTGGCCTCTTTTCCATCTCTTAATCTTTCTTTCTCGTACTTTCTCAGAGATTCTCTTACTTTTTATTTTCCATTCCTTTTGTAGAGTTTCATTCTGCAGTTCTCCTTTTAATTTTCCAGAGCTCATTTTTATCCCCTGAATGCTGCGTTCGTGTGTAGTCTCTTGTTCTCATTTCAGGACTGTTTCATCCTTGCAATATTTTTATTTCATGTGATATTTTATCTCTGGGAGCCCTGGTAGCATAGTGCCTAAGGCACTTGACTGCTAACCAGAAAGCTGGCGGTTCAAACCCACCAGCCACTCCTCAGAAGGAAGATGGGGCAATCTACTTCCATAGTGATACTTCCTCGGTGCAAAAACAGCAAGGAGGCCATGTATTCTGACCTCCTAGAACCCCACGAGAGGAAGGCGGAATCACCATCAATAGCCCAAGGCCTATTACTGCAAGGCCAGACATGCTGCCTCCCTCCAGCCCTTTCACCAACCGTTCCTCCCAAAGCACCACCACCTCTCTCCTGGGTTCGATAATACACTGCAGTAGCCACACAGAACTCACAGATTACGGGGTTTATTACGGAATCACCAGGCTACAGTTCGAGTTCAGGAAAAACACTCAGACTCTCTCCCTAGCCCGCCATCTCTCAGCCAAGTCTCTCACAGTCTCCCCCCAGCAGTGCATGTCCCTTGGTGTCTTACTCAGCAATGCGTGTCTCTTGCGTCTCTTTCCCAGCAGCACATGTCTCTTTCAGGAGCACGTGTCTCTTTCAGCAGCACGTCTTCCTCAACCAGCAGTCAGAGAGAGTTCTGCCTCTAGGAGGCCTCCTTTTGAGCTTGGCAGAGTGGCCAAACCAACCAATCATAATAACAGAATTCTAAGCACCTGAGAGTGAGCCTCCCATAACATTGTGTTGTGCCACACCCAACAGAAATAACCCAGGTGGATAACATTTACAATCAGGAGCTCCTCAGTTGCTCATTCCACCACTGAGTTTGCAATGACTTATGGGTAGAAAAGCCATACTAAGTAATTTACTACACTGCACTCAGAAACCCAAGGAAGGGTCGCTATGAGTTGGGTCCAACTCGATGACACATAACATCAACAACAATATTTTATCTAAAGATGTGTATTGGGAGCTCTGGTAGCATAATGCCTAAGGCACTTGACTGCTAACCAGAAGGCTGGCAGTTCAAACCCACCAGCCCCTCCTTGGAAGGAAGGTTGGACAATCTACTAACATAGTGATACTGCCTCGGCAACCCAAAGAGGGGTCGCTATGAGTCGGGTCTAACTTGACGGCACATAACAACAAAGATAAATAACTTTAATGAAAAGTTTTCCTCTGCTTCCTGTATTATTTTCTCTGATTTCTTTTTGTTTGCTTTCATCTCTCTATTAGAAAGTTTGCTCAAATGTCTGGTGTCCAAAGGCTGGCTATTCATATTTAAGAGTGAAGTACTAAAGCTGACAAGAAGCTGTGTGTGCAAGGGTGTGCTAGAGTCATACCATACAGTCTCATGGGTGCAGGGCTCTTTCTTGGGCTGAGAAGCTGATAAATTTGCCTAGAAAGAATCTTCAGATTCCTGCTTTGTGAAATACTAATAGGGAAAGGGATAAGGGGTATTTGTGTTCAGGGTGTAGACCCTCACTTAGTCTTTCTGTTGGGTGCCTCAGCTCTGCTCTCAGCTGTGCTGGGTATTCTCAAATTCAAGTCCTCTTGAGTAAGCCCTCCTAAGCTCCCATCTTCTGCTGGGTTTGAGGCAGGCTCCTGGAGGTCTTACTGGTGCTTGTGTAAATTTACAGCCAGTCTTCTTGTTTCAGACCCATGCCTCTGCCTTGTGTCTCTGATCTCTGAACCTTTCTTTGAAGGAAGCCCCTCACTTTTAGTGCTCCCTTTTCCCCAACTCCCACCCTCCTCTTAAGCTGGTTTAGGCTCCCTCCTCCTGCTGAGTCAGTTTTCCATCCCTCTCCTTTTTCCTAGCTTCCAAAATTGTATCCTCTCTTATCTCTGTGCTCATATCCTATCCTGTTCTCTTTACCCTGTGGGGTTTGTTTTGTTTTTCATTCCTTTACTTTCATTTTATTAGGCTCTTGCATTCGTTTAAGGAGCCCTGGTGATGCAGTGGCTGCTAACCAAAAGATTGGAACCCATCAACCACTCTGTAGGAGAAAGATGTAGCAGTCTGCTTCCGTAAAGATTGACAGCCTTGGAAACCTTCTGGGCAGTTCTGCTCTGTCCTATATGGAAGCTATGAGTTGGAATCGACTCAACAGCAGTGGGTTTAGTTTTGGTGGGGTTGTGTTCAATCCATTGTGTTTAGCTAGAAGACACTCCCAAAGAATCTTACTAAATGAAAAAAGCAGAACATGTATCATATGCTCCCATGGATGAAAAAACAAAGGGAGGGAAAGTGGCACATATCCATGTATATCGTGTGTGTGTGTGTGTGTGTGTGTGTTTATGTGTGTAGAGAAAGACAGAGACTGAGACACAGAAACTGACAGTGGCTGCTGCTGCTCAGGGGACCAGGAGGCCAGGGGAGGCAGGAGACTTAACTTTCCATTGTATGTATTTTTTTTATAGTGCTGGAATTTTTAAAAATGGGTGTCACCTTTAAAAAAATAATAATAATAATAAAAATTTTACGAGAGCCCGTGCATATTCTCTACTCATCAGGCCTTTCAAACTTGAGCTATTCTGTTACTCCAAGTAGCCACGTGCCATAATCTTGCATTGGAAAGGGACCTTCGTGAGTATGTTGAGGTGGGGGAAGAGGAGCTGCTGAGGAACCTGTACAGAGAATGTTAGCTCCTTTTTGACTCCGTACTGGTGATCCCTCTGGGCCCGGGACCCCTCCAAAAAAGACCTATGAGTTCCCACGTGCCAAGCCTCTTGAGAGACGTGCCGGTAAGACAGCACACTATTGCTACTCCTCTTCTCTCCCACCTAGAAGTTACGCCAACTCTTGGATTAAATAAATGCTCATTCTCCTGCATACTTGTCCTTCTGGCATTATAGGGAGTGGGACTCCATGCTTAGAGATTGTTGCAAGGAAAGTTCTACGTTGTTACATGAAAATATACTGAAATTTTATTACTTCACAGATAAAACATGATTATTACAGACAAGCAAAAGGAAGAAAATCTAAATCCTTGTAATCCTACCACCAGGAAACAACCATGTTTTGGTGTATTATCTTTCCAGAATCCTAGAAATGAAATCATAAAGTACATTTCCACTTTATAGCTTCTTTTCTATAATATATTTGGAACATTTTTTCCAGTGATGTTTTAGAAGGGCACTGTACTTCCATAGTACTGTTTTAAATGGCTGTGTGGTATTCTGTATAGTATACAGAATGTAATTTGTATAGATTAATTTATGTGACCAGTCCCCTGTTGCTGAGGTTCTAACTTGTTTCTGCTATTTCAGTGTTATAAATGGGAATATGGTAAACATTTCTATAGTCTGATCTTTGGGCATATTCTTACTAATTTTGTAAGATTCATTCCTAGAAATGATATATTGCTGGGTCAAAGATTATACATATCTTTATGACTAGAAACACACTCTTAATATATAGCTTAACCCCAAATGATAATAACAGTAATAATAAAAAATAAGTAATTTGAATATATATATTTTAATTTTTAAAGATAAAGTATATTTTTGAGGCTTGAATAGTTATAAAGATTTGTATGTTTATTATAGAACTTTTATTTTTCCTTGAATTTTATTTGTTTTTGAGCCATATACCAGTTCACAGTCTCCAGTGAGTGAGTGGCACTGAACAGTCTTCAGGCTGTGCAGCTGTTCTCACCCTTCTTTCCTGAGTTGTTCTTCCTTCATTAACATAAGTTCATTGCCCCCTAAAGTTTCAACCTCATCTCCCAAGTTGCCGATATCAATTTGATTCTGTGTAGATAGTTCTTAAAAGAGCATGGCAGACCATTCTTACTAGTTAAGTTAAACTAGTGTTTGGTTTTAAGAAGTGTTCAGGTGGTATTTTTTGGTTTAAGATTTAAAGTTTATCTCCGTTTCAAGGTTCATTCCAATCTCCAGAAAGTCTAGAGTCCATGAGAATTTGAAATTCTGTTCTGCATTTTCCCTCTTTGGATCAGGATTTTTCTCCTTTAATCAAAATTTTCAGTAATAGTAGCTGGGTACCATCTGATTCTTCTGTTCATATGGCAAAGAACATTATAGAACTTTCTGAAAATAGAGAAAAATAAAAAAGGAAAAATATCACAAATAGACCTACATGCAGAGATAACCAGAATTAGTAATTATTTTTTAATATGTATTTTTATACTTGTGGTTATCATTCCATATGTATAGTTTTATAACTTTTTTTCCAAAGAGTAATTTGAGGAGCTGTTTCTTACATAGACTTCCTAAGTTTCTGGGTTTCTGATGAGGGGAATAAAACAACTCTGAAAGTTAATTAGCATCTTTCAGAGTATGACTGCTTAAACTCCCACCTGAGTGAACTCAGTCTTTGGTACCAAAGGTGATCCTGTACTCGTGCGCGTCCACTCAGCCCCACTGCTGATGAGTTGAGACTGACTTCTCAATCTTTTTCATCCTTCTCATAGGTGTCAGAATTGGGAAGGTGGAATTGGCGGAGTGCCAGGGATGGAAGCCCATGGTGGCTATACTTTCTGTGGCCTAGCTGCACTGGTAATCCTCAAGAAGGAACGTTCCTTAAACCTGAAGAGCTTGTTAGTAAGTGTCTGTCAGGCAGTATTCCTCTGTTGGTGACTCACTGTACTGAGACCCACAGGCTCTGGGGAAGATTTGGCTGTGGGAAGGACTAGCAGACCTGGAATGAAGCTTTAAGTGTAATTTTTGGAGCTCTCAGCACTGTTCTGAGAAAGTGGAGTTGGGTGAACATCTGCTCTCAGTCTTGTCTCCCTTCTGCCTTTCTTTCTTCTTGCTCAGAACTCTCGAGGTAGTGTGTTAAGCCAGTTCCAGAGTCTTCTTGAGTTACTCACACATCTGTCATGAGCATTCCTCTAAGTACTTAGAGTAACACTCTAATAAGGGTGTTATCCTTAGCCTGTCTTATAGAACTAGAGATTATCTTGTGTCTTAGGAAGAATCTCCTAGGAGAAAAGGTTGTAAGAACAGCTTTGAAGCATTTTGAAGGCAAGCTTTTATTACCTGCTGTATAAAGCCAGGTAATTGTGTTGAGGTAGCCCATGCCATTTATGTCTGGGCTTCAAGCTCTAGCAGCATTCAGAAGGAACTCAGAAAGTAGTCAGATTCATGAAGTCACCAGAATTAGTTATCATTGGTGGCCTAGTGCACAAGCACACAGGTACTGCACACCTACCAACGAAAAGAAGTTATTTCTCCTTGTGTATTCTGGGGAGCTCTGGTAGCATACTGCCTAAGGCACTTGACTGCTAACCAGAAGGCTAGCAGTTCAAACCCACCAGCCACTCCTTGGAAGGAAGGTTGGGCAATCTACTTCCATAGTGATACCACCTCAGAAACCCAAGGAGGGGTCGCTATGAGTCAGGGCCGACTCGACGGCACAAAACAACAACAGGCACACCCCAACCATGACCTCAAAGAAAACCAGCTAGACTTTGCTGCATCTAACATTTAGCTCCTCAAGTTCACATGTCAGGGCCCTGTCATGGAATCCATTATGAGCATCCGTGAGAGTTTCTGTCATATGCTATAGAGACATTTCCAGAAGTATTCGTCCTCATCTTTGGGAAATGTACCATAGCTTGCTCATCTCCTTTGAAGGTTCAAGCCCAAGCAGTTAGCTTTCTGCACTGGACTGAAAGTTAAAACTCACTGCCATTGAGTTGAATTTGACTCTTAGTGACCCCGTTTGGGTTTCCAAGGTGGTAAATCTTTATGGAAGTGGATTGCCCAGTCTTCCTTCCAAGGAATAGCTGGTGGATTTGAGCCACCAACCTTCTGGTTAGCAGTCAAAGTTATCAAGCCTTTTAAAATCTGATCATCTGACAAAGGATGAAACATAAATAAGGAATATATTATCCCTGCATCATTTGTTAGCCCTATGAATTACAGAGAGGGTAGTGGTGGTTCAGTGGTAGGATTTTTGCCTTCCATGTGGAAGACCCGGGCTAATGCACCTCATGTGCAGCCACTTCCATCTGTCAGTGGAGGCGTCTGTGTTGTTATTTTTGTCGTACTGTTATTTTGTCGTACTGTGGTGGCTTGGGTGGTGGTATGACACTGCAAGCTAGTGTAGTCAGTATTTCAAATATCATCAGGGTCATCCGTGGTGGACAGATTTCAGTGGAACTTCCTGACTAAGACAGACTAAGAAGAAGGATATGACGACCTACTTCTGAAAAAACTGGCCACTGAAAACCTTATGAAGAGCATGGAACATTGTCTGATATGGTGCTAGAAAATGAGCCTCTCAGGTTGGAAGGCACTAAGAATACAACTGGGGAATAGCTGTCTCCTCAAAGTAGAGTTGACCTTGATGATATGGGTAGAATAAAGCTTTTGGGACCTTCATTTGTTGCTGGGGCATGACTCAAGATGAGAAGAAACAACTGCAAACATCCATTAATGATCAGAACGTGGAATACAAAGTATGAATCTAGGAAAAATTGGAAATTGCAAAAAATGAAATGGAACACATAAAGATTGATATCCTGGGCATTTATGAGCTAAAACAGACTGGTATTGCCATTTTCAATAGGACAGTTATATGGTCTACTATGCTGGAAATGGCAAATTGAAGAGGAATGACATTGCCTTCATCATCAAAAAGAACATTTCTAGATTTATCCTAAAGTATAGTGCTGTCAGTGATAGGATAATACCCATATGCCTACAAGGAAGACCATTTAATACTATTTACTCAAATTTACGCACTAACCACTAAAGCCAAAGATGAAGATACTGAAGATTTTTTACCAACTTGTGCATTCTGAAATTGACCAGACATGCAGTCAAGATGCATTGATAATTACTGGTGATTGGAATGCAAAAGTTGGAAACAAAAAGGAGCATATCCAAAAACTCACTGCCATAGAGTTGATTGTGACTCATAGCAACCCGCATTGGGATTCCAAGGCAGTAAATCTTTATGGAAGTAGATTGCCCATCTTCCTTCCAAGGAGTGGCTGGTAGGTTTGAACCACCAACCTTCTGGTTAGCAGTCAAATGCCTTAGGCACTTCACCACTATAACTCCTTAAGAGAAGCATGGGTAGTTGGAAAATATGGCCTTGGTATTAGAAATGACATTGGAGATTGCATGATAGAATTTTGCAAGACAACAACTTACTTGTTGCAAATACCTTTCTTCATCAACTTAAACGGTGATTGTACACATGGACCTTGCTAGATGGAATACACAGGAATCAAATTGGCTGCATCTGTGATAAGAGATGATGGAGAAGTTCAGTATCATCAATCAGAACACAAGAGCTGACTGTGGAACAAACCATCAACTACTTATATGCAGGTTTAAGTGGAAGCTGAAGAAAATTAAAAGAAGTCCACAAGAGCCAAAATATGACCTTGATTACCTGCCATCTGGATTTGGAGACTATCTGAAGAAGAGATTTGAGTCATTGAACACCAGTGACCCAAGAGTTGTGGGATGACATCAAGGACATCATACATGAAGAAAGCAAAAGGTCAGTAAAAAGACAGGAAAGGAAGAAGTGACCAAAATGGATGTCAGAAAACTGAAAACTTTTGCCTCGAACAGAGATATAATCTAAACTCTCCAACTGTTAATTTAAGGGAGGGCTGAACCTCCCTTCCATAGAGGTATGTCTAGTGCCTGCTTTGAGGAATTTGATCCAGGAAGCACCTAGGTACAGGGGAAATACCCTATTCTGTACCCTTTCAGTTCAGGTAGGCAGTTCTATAAGTCACAGGCTGGTGGTTAGGACTTCCTTGGAGCGGATGGGAGGGAAATGGAAATGTCAATATCTGCTCAGCCAATTGGTTCTTCTTCCTAGAGGCCAAACCCATGACTATCTTGATCGTAGTAGTATAGTGTGTTTGGAAAACATGGAGTTAAGTGAGGAATGGTGGTATCATGTGTGACCACTGGGTGACACCAAGAGCCATTGTGTAGCTTCAAAGTCAAAGATTTTCTTACATCAACCAGTCAGCTTCTCATGGAGAAACAGAGCAGCTAGGTGGGACAGAGTCATCATTTGGTTATCACGACTGATGGCTTCTGTATCCAGGCCTGCTAGGGGCCTGCTTAGAGACCTTGGGTGCCAATTAAAAGCACAGAAACAGTTTGAGATCATCTGATGAGATGTAGCACATGATTCCATCCTTCTCCTTTTAATAAAATTCCCTGTGCAGAGAAAGTGATTAGAAACGAGGCACTGGTAGTTTGCCTTTAAATCTTCTAGTGAAGGCTTGCTGCTTATTAAGAGACTTTTGCAGGTGTCCTTATAAGCTGACTTGCCCTGTTTATTCCATGGGTATCAGCACCATTTTGGAACTTGGGAAAAAGTGGGTAGTTGTCTATTAGAGACAGACCTGTCCTGTGCAGGAAGAGAGCACAGTCATTCTACAACTGCCAGGAGGAGCTGGAGAGAGCTACAACAGGAGAGCTGAGCCAGGACCATTGCTGGTTGCCTCAAAAGGGTCCGCTCAGATGTCCCCTGCTGTAGCAGTGAGGGAAAGGAAGGTAAGAAAAAGTACCCAAACCCCAGTGCCAGCATGCCAGGAGATGGGACTCCTCCTTCCCACGCACAGATTGACCTCTGGCCGTGTTGTCTTGCTGCCTTTGTGTCCCCTTCCACCCACAACCTGTGCTGTCTGTGTCTCATTCTCAGCAGTGGGTGACGAGCCGGCAGATGCGATTTGAAGGTGGCTTTCAGGGCCGCTGCAACAAGCTGGTGGACGGCTGCTACTCCTTCTGGCAGGCCGGGCTTCTGCCCCTGCTCCATCGGGCGCTGCATGCCCAAGGTGAGTCCAGGGCTTGTCAGGAGGGGCGAGGTGTCTTCCCTGGATAGCTAACCAAATCAGGGAGCCAGAGTATATTTTAGACTTTGAAACAAGGTCTGTCTGTCCTGAATTTTGGATGCCCTGCCGGAACTTCCTGCCCAGGGGCGTGCACATGCAGAATGGGACTTAGTGCCACTGTTTTAGGAGTCACTGCTACTTCAGAGTGGCTGTGGCAGCTCGAAAATGTTTGTGGCTGGTCCTGGGGACCCCACGCGCAGTGGGACTCAGTGCTGCCCTGTCCTGTGCGGTGGCCACTTGCCGACGGCACCATTGTGAGCCATCAGGTTTTCACTGGCTGATTCTCAGAAGCAGCCTTCATAGTCCGTTTGGTCTGCCTGTTCAGTGTCATAGCATCATGTTAGCCTTCACCCACAGATGGGTGGTGGCTGTCCTTGAGGTACATTGGTTGGGAATCGAACCCAGGTCCCCCACCGGGAGGAGGGAATTCGAACACTGAACTGCCACTGCCTGTGTGGCAGGAATGGGCTCCCTTTAAACTGCTGTGAGGCGTTGCTGCTTCTGTGTTATCTGGAGGGGCCAGCCCACTCCTGTCCTGGGCCCCATGGTGCCTGCCACCTCAGCTGGTTGTGAGCCAAGTTCCCAGCCTCAAGCCCCTTGTTAGTCATGTCAGAGCTGAAAACCCACACTTCACATGGTCACAGAGTGACAGGAAAGGCAATTGCATCAAGAGGCAGAGAACCAGGACTCGCTGAGAACAGACTCAGCATGTCTGGCTGGCTGCATAGTTGTTGCCAGCAAAAATGTTTTGTTTTAAATTGACTAAACAATGTTAAATGCACAGTCGTTCTACTCTCGCCACTGGAGGGGAGCAACTCATTGTCTTCTGCGGAGTCTGTTGGAAATGCAGTATAGCAAGCGGGAACACAGTTCTGGGAACACTCCCTTCTTATCTCTTGGGACCTCAGGCTGTCTTCTAAGTCCTCAATCATCTTTCTCCTTCATTTTGTATGAGAACAGGGTATCTGAGGAAGCCAGTGAGAGAGGGGAATTCATGGCTGCCCCACTGGTGGGGGACCTCTTTGTGGAGTGAGATCCCTTAGCCCAGAGGGAAGCTTGTCATAGGATGTAGTAGTTGAGTTATTAATTATTTGAATATAGAAGATGAAACTCCTTTTTACAGCCCCTCCCCCCATCTTGTTTGCCTGCTCTTTCTGAGCCATTTCTTTAGTTTCTCAATTGCATCTGGGTTCTTGAGTTGTGGTCTTTTTTGTTTTTTTTTTTTGTTGTGGCCTCTTTTGATGCTGAGTTGAAGTAAACAGAGACTCTTTCCTCTCTTCCTGTTCTCCCCTGCTGGGTCTGTCCTGAGATTTCTCCTTTTAGTCACTCCAGGCCCAGGCTCCGGGCCACTGGGCTTTGGTCTCAGCATTCCTCCAACTCGGGAGCTTGCCCAGTTTCTGGCTCAGCCACTAGTGGGGAAGTCAGCAGTTCCCTGAAAGTATAACATTTCCCAAAACAGAAATAACTTGGAGTTTTGGTGATCTCTTTATTTGGAACTGATGAGGCTGAGCACCTGGTCAAATGGTCAGCCATTATGTACCTGTCCCTGGTGAGGATAGTGCAGCAGTCTATACCAGGCAGGAAGGTCTGGACAGAGTTCTAACAGGAGAGCCACCTACCAATGTCTGCTAGAGGGGCTGCTGGTTGACCTTTTGCTTTTTGTAGCACCAGCTCGGGAGGACTAGTCACTTTTTTTTTTAATTATGATTTGGGTGAATTTTGACAGAGCAAATTGGTAAGACTAGTTACTTTTGAAGTCTTCCCGTGGAAAAGACTGCCTGTAACTCTTGGGCTTGCTTCCAGCTTTTTCCATTGCCTGGGAGAAGGCCTGTTTGAAGCCCGAAGGGAAGCTTACCTCCTTCTTGAGACTAGTGGGCTTAGAACAGACAGGGGTCTGAAATGGAGGGAAGTATTTTGAGCAGTGGGCAAAATGCTGACCTTTACCTACAAAGATAGTAAACCAAAAACAATACTACATCCCTGGAGTGGTTGCATAGATTACTGCCACCATCAAGGACTTGAAGGATGCAGGGGCGGTGATTCCCACCACATCCCCATTTTATTCACCTGTGCAAAAAACAGATGGATCTTGGAGAATGATGGTAGATTATCATAAAATTAATCCAGTGGTGACTCCAATTGCAGCTGCTGATCCTGATGTGGTTTCATTGCTTGAGCAAATTAGTACATCTCCTGGTACTTGGTATGCAGCTATTGATCTGGCCAATGCCTTTTTCTCAATACCAATTTCAAAGGACCATCAGAAGCAGTTTGCCTTCAGCTGGCAAAGCCAACGGTATACTTTCACAGTTCTTCCTCAGAGGTATATCCACTCCTTGGCACAATGTCATAATTTAATCCATAGGGATCTTGATTGCCTTTCCCTTCCATAAGACATCACATTGGTCCATTATATCGATGACATTATGCTGACTGGACCTAGTCAAGATGAAGTATCTATGACTCTAGACTTACTGGTGAGACATATGCATTCTAGAGGTTGGGAAATTAACCCAACAAAAGTTCAGGCACCTTCCACCTCAGTGAAATTTCTAGGGGTCCAATGGTGTGGGGCATGTCGAGATACTCCTACTAAAGTGAAGGGTAAGTTATTGTATCTGGCATCCCCCACAATTAAAAAGGAGGCACAATGTCTGGTGAGCCTCTTTGGATTTTGGAGGCAACATATGCCTCATTTGGGTGTGTTGCTGCGGCCTATTGATCAAGTGACTCAGAAAGCTGCTACTTTTGTTTGGGGCCCAGAACAGCAGAAGGCTCTGCAACAGGTTCAGGATGCCGTGCAGGCTGCTCTGCCACTTGGGCCATATGATCCGGCTGACCCAATGGTGCTTGAAGTGTCTGTAGTAGATAGAGATGCTGTTTGGAGTCTTTGGCAGGTCCCTTATTGGTGAATCGCAATGTAGACCCTTGGGATTTTGGAGGAAAGCCCTGCCATCCTCTGCAGATAACTACTCTCCATTTGAGAAACAGTTTTTGGCTTGTTACTGGGTTTTAGTAGAGACTGAACACCTAACCATGGGCCACCAAGTGACCATGATGCCTGAGCTTCCCATCATGAACTGGTGTTGTCTGACCCACAGAGTCATAAAGTTGGACATCGACAGCTGCACTCCATCTTTAAATGGAAGTGGTATATCAGAAATCGGGCTTGAGCAGGACCTGAAGGCACAAGTAAGTTGCATGAGGAAGTAACCCAAATGCCTATGGTCTCCACTCCAGTAACATTACCTTGCCTCTCCCAGTCTGCACCTGTGGCCTCATGGGAAGTTCCTTATGATCAGTTGACTGAGGAAGAGAAAACTCGTACCTGGTTTACAGATGGTTCTACGCAATATGCAGGCACCACTCGAAAGTGGACAGCAGTAGTACTACAGCCCCTTTCTGGGACTTCCTTGAAGGACAGTGGGCAGAACTTCGAGCCATGCATATGGCTGTTCACTTTGCATGGAATAAGAAATGGCCAGATGTGCGATTATATATGGATTCATGGGCTGTGGCTAATGGCTTAGCTGGATGGTCTGGGACTTGGAAGGAGTATGATTGGAAGATTGGTGATAAGGATATGGAGAAGAGGTATGTGGATAGATCTCTCTGAATGGGCCAAAGAAGTCAAGATATTTATATCTCATGTGAATGCCCACCAAAAGGTGATTTCGGCAGAGGAGGAGTTTAACAATCAGGTGGATAGGATGACACGTTCAGTGGAAACCAGCCATCCTTTTCCCCCAGCTACTCCTGTCATTGCTCATTGGGTCACGAACAAAGTGGCCATGGTGGCAGGGATGGAGGTTATGCATGGGCACAGCAACATAGGCTCCCGCTTACCAAGGCTGATTTGGCTACCACTACGGCTGAGTGCCCAATCTGCCAGCAGCAGAGACCAACACTGAGTCTGCGATATGGAACCATTCCTCAGGGTGATCATCCAGCAACCTGGTGGCAGGTTGATTACATTGGACCACTTCCATTGTGGAAAGGACAGCATTTTGTTCTTACTGGAATAGATGCTTATTCTGGATGTAGATTTGCCTTCCCTGCACACAGTGCTACTACCCTCTGTGGACTTACAGAATGCCTTATCCACAGTCATGGTATCCCACACAGCATTGCTTCGGATCAAGGGACTCACTTCACAGCAAATGAAGTGAAGCAGTGGGCTTATGTTCATGGAATTCACTGGTCTTACCATGTTCCCCATCATCCTGAAGCAGCTGGCTTGATAGAACGATGGAATGGCTTCCTGAAGACACAATTATGGCACCAGCTAGGTGGCAATACCTTGAAGGGTTGGGGCAGTGTTCTCCAGGATGCTGTATATGCTCTAAACCAGTGTCTAATATATGGTTCTGCTTCTCCAATAGCCAGGATTCACGGTCCAGGAACCAAGGGGTGGAAACAGGAGTGGTACCACTTACTGTTACCCCTAGTGACCCACTCAAAAAATTTTTGCTTCCTGTCCCTGCTACCCTACGCTCTGTGGGTCTGGAGATCTTAGTCCCAAAGGGAGGAACACTCCCATCTGGAGAAGCAATACTGATTTTATTGAACTGGCAATTAAGAATGCTACTCAGCCATTTTGGCTTCCTCATGCCTCTGGATCAACAGACAAAGAAGGGCATTACTTTACTATCTGGTGTGATAGACCCTGATTACCAAAAGGAAATTGGATTGACTTTACATAATGGAGGTAAAGAAAAATATGTGTGGAATACAGGAGATTCTTTAGGACATCTCTTAGTACTACCATACCCTGTGATTAAAGTCAATGGAAAATTATAGCAATGCAATTCTGATATGACTGCTAATGGCCCAGACCCTTCAGGAATGAAGATTTGGGTCACCCCACCAGGCAAAGAACCACGACCAACTGAGGGCAAGGGAAATACAGAATGGGTGGTGGAAGAAGGTAGTTCTGAATATCA